ACATGGCTGTTTCGTACTAACATATGTAAAAAAGTAAGTTCTACTCAAAATTAGAAAAAAATACAACTTTAGCATCTAGCATTTTATTTTTGTTATGTTTGATTGCATAACTTTTTATTTATCTATTTAAGTTATTAATTTTTGATTTTTTTCTACTCGAGTATATTTCATCGTCAAATATAATTAAATATTAACGTAGTCGATATAAAATAACACGTGGCTATTTTATACTAAAAAGTAGCAAAAAATCTCGCTCAAAATTACGGAGAAAGAAAAAATTGCATCAGCTCAGCATCCGAATATATAGGTTCTCAAAAGTTCTATGCTCTGAATTTTCATTAGTTAAGAGACAGACAGTTCAAATATAATATCAGTTCCTTCATACAAAATTTTGCGAAGTTTCCAGACTTAACATGTAATCTACAAACCTTTCGATCAATTATTATGTACTCGACTTCAAATTATTTATGAAGGCATGTGTAGCGAGTACAAAACCAATTTTTATACTCCTCTAGTATATTTTTATTTCACAATAATTTCAAGCATGATTTATTTTTTGCTGCATGTCAATACAAAAATAGCACGTGTTATTTAACATCCTTAATTGATGGAATGCATTCAAATAGAAACATTATTAGTATGTCAATCATTTAAATAAGTAAAAATAAAACTTTAGGATAAAAAAGAATGCATAAGAGATTTTAAATATATGAAAAGTTCGCACACTATAAATAATTACCTAGTAAAGCATGTAAATATATTTCACGTGCAAATAAATTCCATATAATTTATCAATAACCAGGCAAATAGCAGATGTAGAATGGCATTGTGAAAAATGCATAATATTTGTGGATGGAATGCACTGAAATTTTATTTTTTAAAAAAAATAATGTTGATAACTTAAATAGGTAAAATAAAAGATTAGACACTAAATTTGGAGAAAAAAAAATTGAACACCAAAATTGTAGTCTTTTTCTTTGGTTATCTTTTAAAAATTTGTTTAGATCACGTATTTTGTATCGAATAGTGCACTTGAGAATGAGATTTGACTCAATCTATCACTGCAAAATAGTAAAATATCAGTAAAATTTTTCATTGCTAAATCATCATTTTTCATCGTTATTTATTTTTAGTGACAGATTTATGATGATATTTTTTAGTAGCTAAAAACATTATCACTATTTTTTTATCGACGAAAATTTCTATTCGATGCTCATGTAAAGTATTTTCGTTGCTAAATCAAAATAGACAATTGTAACACCCCGATCTAGGACCTAAATAAGTCATCAATATTATTGACATTGACCTATATTCGAAGTGCAATAAATGCAAGCTAAGAAGCCTCCTCCCTTATCTTTTCTAGTGCATTAGTGGAAGTGAGAATATATCATACATTAGGTCTCTGATGAGTATAGGATACTAGGTCCACTTATACATAATTTGAGCATAAAATTTGCCTCTTTATCTTTAGGTTCAATTAAACCTATTGCTAATTTCATTTAAACGTCTTAATAATTTAACCATTAAGTTCTCTTTTAGTCTTGACTTTCATATCCCTACCTAGTTCCTTACTTTTTATCTTGACATGTAATCATTTTCATAATTCTATGAATTATATCATCTTAGTCGTATTAGTCATTTTAAGCATCCAAGTTCTATGGCTAACAAGAATGACACAACCATAACTCAACATTCAACTAACCTTTTTATTTATATCATTACAATATTTACTTAATTAATTTATGTACATGTCAAAAATGCTTAATTTGCTATACATACACCAAAAACTAAGTTAAGCTATATAGGATTCTCATAATCACCATCCCAAAGCACACAAAATGGGCAAGTTCATCACTTATCTTGGTGACATATCATTTATCCTTATCTTCTCCTACACCATAAAAAATACAATGGTGAACAATGTAATGTTCAGTAAGTATAACTTATACAATGCATGTGATGTTCTTTACCCTTATCTTCTCATACATCATAAGAAAACAATGATGAATAACGTAATGCTCAGTAAGTATAACTCATGCAATGCATGTGATGCCCTTTATGTGTGAATGCACACGATGCAACTTTCATAAAATCTTTTTCATGTCTTTGAAAACCATTTTCCTTTTTTTATTTTTTGGGATGTAGCTTTTCCTTTATCATTTCTTTAGTTTGGGTATTCACTAAATTCCCCAACTGTCAAAGTCTTTTCCAAATCCATCAACGAAGAAATGTTTTTACCACTTTCTTTAATTAGGGCATTTACTAAATCCTCTAATTGTCGAGATCTTTATAGAATCTCTCGGTAATTCCCTCCAAACCCTAATAACAACGACAAAATAAAAATTATGTTCTTGATTTTCCTCGTAATTCCCTCGCTAATATACCCGTGAATATTTTGCTGCCATAAACAATGATGGAATAAAGTCAGTCGTCGAGAATTTGTCACTAGTTCATTGGTATTTTGTGGCTGAAACCCACGTCTTGATAACGGTCATAGTTCGTTCGTTAATCCGTCGATATTTAACGACATAATTCAATCAAACGCTAATTTATGAAGCTATTTTCCGTTTTCTTAGAATCCATTAAGCCTGGCAATGTTAGTATTTCAATATGAATTACATGTTTTTATTGCTTTTTCAAGGATGTATATACAGTTGATTAAGCACCTGAAATAGCACTTAAGATTTTTTCAGTAAACTATTTTTCTACCACAAATATCATTTTTTTTAGATAATCAAGTATTCTCTAATATTAGTAAGAACGTAATAAAATTTTTTTTTTTGTTATTGTACCAGTTTAAATTTATATGACTGGTTTAAACTTGAATGGTGAAGAACGTCGTAATCTCCATATGTAAAAGTTAGTTCGAAATGTTCTTACCTTAAGATTTAAATTTTTTTTTATTACATCTCTATTGCAATTTTTATTTTTATTTTTTTACACGAACTTCAAATTTTGATATTGGGTAACATGCATTTGATACATTCTAATTCCCTGTATGCTAACATTTTAACACCACCCTTGTAGGGATTTTCGGGAGAAAAAAATCATGAGAAAATTCACTTTATATAGAATTGTATGAAATAGCTATCATATATAATTACGTATTTTTGGTTCCATTTTCTTATATTAATGTCACGGAATGCATAAGTCACGATCATTTTCTTATAAAGTATCATTCATCCTTTGTTAATGTTTGCCTCATACCCTTTTATTTAATGTTTTTCTGCTCTTTAGACCCTTCATCACTGGATAGTCTGGACCCATTTGCAGACCTCTCAACACGTGTTAATTAAAATAATATTTGACAGAAACATTGCTTTTCACGACTGATGCAACCTCTCCTGAACTCACCTACTACTTGCCGAGTCATGGCTACCGGCACCAAGGATGAAGGAAGGATTTGCTCATGATTTGAAAAATAAAGGAAGAAAACTCCTGAGACTTGATCGTATAGTGGTTTCTCACCCTATTACTTATGTTCCAATCTAAGAAGAGATCATAGAAAGAATTTTCTTTTAAATATATTAATTTAGTTATGAATGCTATGCGAAAATATCGTGATTGAAAAAAAATAGATTTTTAACAATAAGCTCCAAAACAATAAAGTATTGTTTGATCATAAAAACTAGAATGATAGAAATGAAAATAAAAATTTTATTTTTATTTTATAAGGATTCAGTTGAAAATAATAAAAATAAAATTTTAGCATTATACATAATTTTATTTTTATGAAATGTGATGAGAATGAAAATAAAGAAAGTGAAAAAAAATTCTTCAAAATATTAATATATTATTTTTATTTATTATTTATCAAATATTTTTATCTTTATCGTCACATTTACTGCAATTAAAAGTAAATTTTGAAAAAATATTATTATGATAATTATTTTGTCATCATTTGTTTCTATCATTGTCACCATTTTTTATATATTATAACATCACAACTTTTTTTTGTCACTGCTACTAAATCAATTTTTTTAGTATATTATTACTATTACTATGTTATTATTACAACTATCATTACTTCCTTCTCTTCCATTATCACTAACGTCACGTTAATTATTTTTATTATCATTATAGTTGAGAAACTTATTTTTATAATTATTATTTTTATTCTTTTTGAAAATCAAATATTAAAAATTTTAAATTTATTCTGATTTTTTAATTTTTTTTAAATACAATATCTAATGAAAATACCATTTCGATTTCATATCGAATGGTTTTAGAATTTATCATGATGTTGATTTTATCAATATTTTTTCACAAAATCACTTCTTAAAGAATCTCAGCGTAGATTTATAGAATTCATCAATGGGATTCGTCCGTTTGATGGAAAAAAAAAAAAAAAAAGATCTCGGAAAGAAATTTTAAATTAAATAAACATGGTCTTGAGCTAGAAAGCTAACGTGGGACTTCAGAAATTATTGAACAGCTAAGAGAAATCCTTTCCTAATCGTAAGACAGACTATTATATTTCATGGGGCATTATTTTAATGGCTTTTACGTACCATATAACCCATCCATGTACAGCAAAGCCAGGGAGATTCCTTTCTAGATTAAACAAAAATTAATTACCTTGTCCAATAGATTCTTCTCATTAATTGCTCATTAATTTCAGCACTGTCCTGACCCTTTCAACCACAAAAGATGACACGACTTAATTGAGAAAAAAACAATGCAAAGTCCGTTTCATTTTATTTCTTGGATTTTTTTGGCTGAGAAAAAAACAATTGTGCCGCTGCCACCAATTCAGGGGTATCAAGATAGTGGTACTGGTGTGGAAGCCATATTTCTCCAAATGAATAAATAAATAAAAATAAAGATCAAAGCTTGATTGGTTATAAGGCCATGATTGCTTGACAAATTTCCATTATTTTTGCACTGTTGAAAAGAAAAAAAACCATCTGGGGTCCGTTTAAAAGGCTAGCCGTCACCGCTTCCTTGTTTGACTAATGTGTTAGAGAAGTGTTTCACTTCTGTAAGCTGAGTGTAGTTGTATGCGTTTGGCAATGGCTCATGTTGTCCAAGGCCAGCAGTTGGTGCCAGAGAACCTGAGGAAACAGCTTGCAGTTGCTGTAAGAAGTGTGCAGTGGAGTTATGCAATTTTCTGGTCACTGTCAACTAGACAGCAAGGGTACATTAGTTGAACTTCTCTTTAAATTGCTTCTTTTCTTCTTACGGTGATTTTTGTTACAATTCTGTTCTTATTTCTCAGTTTCCATATCTGGGTTTTCACTGATGTGCTAATATGCTGCGTGGTTAATGATAAAAATACCATATCCAAGATAAAAACTTTACTTTCTAGTGAAACCCACATCATCTATTGTAGAAGATTATGGATTTGCTGATGTAGATGCCGTAATGATACCGTTGACCACTACAAGTTGATAGAACTAACAGTTAGATTGGTTTTCTTTTCCTTTCCCCCTCATTTTACTGAAATTTGGTAAAAGTAATGATCCACAAAATTTATGAAAATTAGGGTTGTGACAGTTTTCTTCTTTTAAATTGATAATGCTAGGATAGTTTAAGATACTTCATTTCACTTGGGTAACACAATGCAGCCTTGAAAAGGTAATTGAGATGGCTTTTCATTTATGTCTTTCCATGCTTATGCTGAGAAAATATAGTGGAATCATGTTTTTTTAGTGTACTGGAATGGGGTGATGGGTACTACAATGGCGACATCAAGACTAGGAAAGTTCAAGCTGTAGAACTTAAAGCTGATAAAATAGGCTTACAGAGAAGTGAGCAATTGAAAGAACTTTACAAGTCACTACTTGGAGGTGATACTGGCCAACAAGCTAAGAGGTCTTCTCCTGCATTGTCTCCAGAGGATCTGTCAGATGAAGAGTGGTATTACTTGGTTTGCATGTCCTTTGCATTCAATTCTGGTGAAGGGTATTAATCTGTCTTCTACTGATCCAAAGATCTCCTTATTCTCTCTTTTTATAATGGTGTCATATAATTATGATTTTAGATGGTCATTCTTCTTTCAAATTGTTGCACAGGTTGCCAGGAAGAGCATTAGCAAATAAACAGACTATCTGGTTGTGCAATGCTCAATATGCAGATAGCAAAGTATTCTCTCGTTCTTTGCTCGCAAAGGTTGGTTTCCTTGGCAACCTATGTTTCACATTTAATGCAAATTTCAACTAGTATAATAACTGTACTATCTTACATGTCGTGAAGGAAAACTGACCTTTTCTTTTTTTTTTTGTCATTTGCTCTCTCTGTGACTGGACCATCACTGCTGATAGAGTGCATCTATTCAGGTAAGAAGTTCTATTTGTATATGAATCCATGATGTGATTGCTATGGACACGCCTACACACACATGCCCCTGCATTGGCCTTTGCTGGGAAGATCTTTGTATACAAAAATACTTGATTCTGATGCTATGCAGACACTCACACATATATGTTCCTGCATCTACCTTTTTCCTGTGGCCACTTTAAATTGCTATCCATTCTTTTTACGTGTTACTGAAATAAGTTCTGAGGTCATAAGTTATGCCAATCTCAAGCCTGCTGTATGTTTTGTGAAGCATGAACCCTAAGAAGCAATGTTGCACCATGCTGGCATATAATAAATTTTCCCTCTTCCTTAGTGCTTTCAACATTACTATGCATATAAAATTTTGCATGCTAAATTAAGGAGAAAGCTATTTACCTTAATGGAGATTTTTTTCAAATGTCATTTTACCTGTTGTAAAGTTCCAATAGCCACAGCCCAATTCACACATTTTCAAATCCAGATGTGTTATCTTTCTGCTCTGACATCACATGGTTTGTGGATACAATTTTGCAGACTGTGGTGTGTTTTCCCTATCTCGAGGGTGTAATAGAGCTAGGTGTAACCGAGCTGGTAATTTACTATCTGGAAAATAGATCAATGAATCTAATATATATGTATGTAACCATTTATAAAAGCCTTAACTGTGATCTTGCTTCTTCTTTTTGCTTATATCAAGGTCACAGAAGACCCCAGTCTCATTCAACATATCAAAGCTTCCTTATTAGACTTCTCAAAGCCTGTTTGCTCTGAAAAATCTTCCTCTGTTGCCCACAATGAAAATGATGATAAAGATCCAATGTTGACCAAGATCAGCCATGAGATAGTTGATTCATTGGCTTTGGAGAACTTTGACACCCCAACAGCAGATATAGAATTTGAGCAGGAGGGAATTAACAATTTAGATGGAAATGTGCATGAAGAATTCAATAGGAACTCTCCTGATGATAGTTCTGATGGCTATGAGAACAATCACCAGACTGAAGAATCCTTCATGCTTGAAGGTTTAAATGAAGGGGCTTCTCAAGTTCAAAGTTGGCATTTCATGGATGATGAATTCAGCAACGATGTTCGAGATTCTATGAATTCAAGTGATTGCATATCAGAGGCCTTTGTGAAGCAAGGAAAGGTTCTACCCTCTTCCAAGGGAAAAAACGTAACCCACCTTCAGTTGAAAGTACTTCAAGAGGGAAATCACACAAAGTTGAGCTCCTTGGATCTTGGAGCTGACGATGACTTGCAGTACAGAAAAACTGTATGTGTTATTCTGAAAAGTTCAAGTCAGTTGATTGACAATCCATGTTTCCATAGTGGCGATAGTAAATCCAGTTTTGTTAGTTGGAAGAAAGGGGCAGTTGATGGCCATAAGCCACGAGTACAACAGAATATGTTGAAGAAGATTTGTTTTGCTGTGCCTTTGATGTATGGTGGTCACTCTCTTCGGCCTGACAAGGAAAATCTAGGGAAAGATTGCCTCAAGAAATTGGAAGGCTGCGAAACATGCAAGTGGCATTTTAAATCAGATAAACAAAAGGAGAAGGAAAAATTTCTATTACTCAAGTCAATGGTTCCTTCTATTCATGAGGTAATTAAATACCTTTGCTGGAAATCATGTTATTACTGAAACTTTGATAGTAACTGGAGATTTCATAATTCTTTATAGACATATTTTACTGTAAAAAACTGCAGTACATTTTTGGAGAAGTGTAAAACAATTGTCAACTTCTAACTATGTATGCTTTAATGATTCTGTACTAGTTGTTCTAATTAGTCTCCAAAGCATTTACATGTATCTTTTCTGCTCAACAATTTTTCTGCTAAATTCAGTAAACTGGCTCTGAGATAATGTTATTTTGGAGAAGTTCATTATTCTGATCGTTGCATTTCTAATGATGCTACACATTAATAAACTTGATCATACTTGTACAGATTGACAAAGCATCAATCCTCAGCGACACTATTAATTACTTGAAACAGCTTGAGTCAAGAGTAGCAGAACTGGAATCTGGCACAGGCTCGATAGATTACGAGGCAAGACCCAGGAGTTACATGGACATGGTAGACAGGACGTCAGATAACTACCACATCAAGAAGCCTTGGATAAACAAAAGGAAGGCCCGTGATGTTGATGAAGCTGAACTAGAGCTCGATGGGGTTTCTCCCAAGGATGGCGTGCCCTTAGATTTGAAAGTATGCACGAAAGAGAAGGAGATTCTCATTGAGATGAGATGTCCTTACAGGGAATACATGTTGCTCGATATCATGGATGAAGCCAACAAACTGCAGTTGGATGTGCACTCAGTTCAGTCATCAACTCTAGATGGCATTCTCACATTAACCATGAAATCTAAGGTTTGTGCTGAAGATCTATCCAATTGCTGCCCTTTTTACATATCTCTTTGGCTGTCATATGCATTAGAAATCCTAAGCTAAGTATTAGAGGTGCAATGACTTCTTATGAGATGAAATTTGATGTCTGATATGTTACGAAATTGAAAGCTGAAACTAGATTATCACAGTTATTGGAATTATATGGGTTTTAGAAGAAGTAATTGTTATGGAAGCTGTTTCCAAATACTTACAACAATGCCCTTTTTTTCGGAAAAATGCTCAAATCTTATGAACTTGGTTTCAGTTTAGAGGGGCAGCAGTTGCACCAGCAGGGATGATCAAACAAGCACTTTGGGAAATAGCCGGCAAGACTTGAATCATCATATATCAACTTATCAACTGGTACTTGAAGGATTTCTCCGATCAGTAGAATTAGTTTCTAGATTCTCATGTAACATGTAGCAGTAACTGCATGACTTCGCAAATGCATCACTTCATTTTCCTTAACCTTCTTTCCATTATCAAACGTTCAACTGTAGTGCTAGCTAATTAGCTCAACTAGTGACTTGTTAGGAGTTGTGGAGAATCAAATCCTTCGATGTAATTTAACTACCAATGTGAATCTCATTTCAATGAAGTGTTGTTTTGAATGATACCGTTCTTTTTGTGTGCTGCTGATTGTTTCTTCAGGCCCATCATAAGAGTTAGGGTCCCGTCCAAATCCTAAAGAATTTGGAAAGGCTTCCAAATTTGAGTGATTCTTACCCCCAAATCACACTCAGAGGAATCCCATTGCACCAAAAATCTTCAACCCTTCGGCATCTCGGTAGCCATTTGAAATACATTACTGTACAGGAGGGAGAGCCACATGGAACCTTGACTAATACTTTAATTAGAATTCTGAACTAAAATTGATTATATCTCAGATATTACTATAAAGCAGGATGTAACTAGCCTGTAATCTAATGTGCTCCGGATCAGGTGCAGAATTTAAAATTTGATGAAGGAGAGTATATTATACTATTTGCTTTCGCCAACCAGGGACAGGTTGCTGGGTGCCAACTTCATGGATTCATAATTGGCACCTTCTTATTTATTCTTCAAGAAAGCAACAAAAATGTAGACAAAAAGAAACACCACGTTCCCATAATAATACATTTGCTAGTACGAAAATATGATGCAATATATACGCTCTTGCTTGGAGAGGAAGGTCATGATTTCAAGTGCGAAGAAAGACATACTCAGTCACTCATTCAGAGAAAGATCAGAGGTTTGAGTTTAGAATGACCAGGCATTATTTTCTGTTTCTGCTATTTGCATTGTCTCTTCCGACGTTAATCTGTTGATGTCATAAAGGAACACTGGTTTTGGACGCCCAAATTTCTATGGAATCAAGGGGATCCTGCCAATTATTTCTGACCTAATTGATCTTGAAGTTAGCTATTATTATATCTCCATTTATTCATAGGCACTTAAATACAAGAATTATGTAATACATGGACACATAAGTTGGAAGTTGAAACTCCAACTGTACAATCTTTTCCATACTAACTACCAACAGGTCCATGCTCTCGAACTCAACTAACCCTTATTTTGTTGTCTTCTTCACCTTTGACAATTGAAATCCCTCGAGACAAAATATTCACTAACTTAGAGCTCAAGAGTTAGGAAATGCAATTGCTGGAGGTTTCTGACATAATTAAACCACCAACTTTAAGAGTTTTTGTTTTGAAAAAAATAATAGAAGGTTACGTACCAACAATATGATCCATATACACGGGGAAGGACTTGGACTCGAACTTGGATTTTCCGGCCTTGACTTTCAGAGACTAACACCAGCAAAATCCTTAACAGTGAAGCCAACCTTTTCAAACTTCCCTCTCTCACTGCTCTCTCTGAACTTCAAATAATCTGAACAAACAAATGGCTCATAGATTCTCAAAATTCCTTCTCCTACCACTTCATTCGGTGCCAAGATTACCTTCTCATCCTCGAAGCACCAAAAAAAGGCAAGAGAAAGACGTTTAACTGGTTTCTTCAAAACGATTCGGTGTTCTGATGATCTTAATTTATCATTGCTCCAAGCTTGCAACATATCACCTATGTTTACCACCAAAGTTTCCTCACATGGACTTATATCCATCCATTTCCCTTCCTTAGATTTCACCTGCAGTCCTCCAACTTCATCCTGGTATACAATGGTCACGCAGCTCATGTCTGTATGCATTCCAAGTCCCTCAACCTCATCTACCAAACTTTTCGGAGGCGTGTAGTTTACAATCCTCAGATAACCATGGCAATTCTCGAATTCTGATTCGTAGTACTTCTTATCAAAATCCTCTCCCAAGCTCATCAATAAAATCTCCACGATTCTCTTCGATAATTCTGTCATCTTGCTCCCATATTCTTGTAGTGCCTCACTTTTAGAAGAACAAAGACATTAGGGGGAAAAAAAGAAGAAAAAGGAAAAGAATCAGGAAAGAACAGAAAATAGAAAAGCAGAAGAAAAAACAAGTTGCAGTTTATAATTATCATCACCTGAATTCAAAACTCTGTTGACCAAAAAGGGTATTTGCAGAACTCTGAGCAGATGCAAAGAAGTTTGGTCCAAAAACTCGGAGGCACTCAAAGAAAGGAGAAGCAATGAAATGAGGAGTGTAAGTCTTTATAGAAGAAGAGGGACCAAGTTCAAGTTTTGTCTCAGAAGGAAGGTTAAAGAGTTGTTGTGAAAGTGAATAGAGTTTGTTGTAAAGCCCTTTGGAGATTCCATGGCCGGTGATGTGAAAAAATCCCCATTTTTTGCAAGCTTCAGCCAGGGATGCCCGAGCAGATGGCTCTAGTGGCCGAGAGATATCTAGAATGGGAAGTTCTACGGAATGGCATTGATCAGGCATTTTTCCTAGCATATAGAGAGAAAAGGTTTAGTTTGTCTACTTTGATTGAGCTATATATCAATAAATGGTTGGCTAGAAGAAAGAGGGAAAGCATTTTTCAACCTTGTTAATTAAATGGATTCTTTTTTTTAACAAAAAAAAAAAAAAGATAAGAGAAGGGCGACCCCAAATAAATATATATAAAAACTGATGCAACTAGCAAAACTGCACTCCTTATTGATGCAATGTAGTTGAATTTTTGCTGCAGAAAGATAGAAAAATGACAAGCAGCTGATTATTGCTAATTTACGAGTTTAAGAAAGCTTTGATGAACCAAATGATGTTTGAATTAAAGGCTACTACAAAGGTTTGACCATGTATAAACAAAGAGATGATAATGGTTACTGAGTATTATTTTTGTGAAGTGAAGGAATGAATGGAGGCTTAAAAGCAACGACAGGCTGTTAAAAAGGTTCCCTGGGCAAATGGGATTTTCTTATATATATATATATCGTGTTTTGCATGGGTTCTAGAGCTTAGAATTCTTGGTCAGAAAGGCTACCAGCCCATTTGCTTGCTCGTTAAGCATGTGGAGTTTAGAGCTTATAAAACTGAATATTGGTCTACAATCCTCCCAATTTCGTAGCCAAAAAAAAAAAAAAAAAACGTGATTTTGGTGCTACTACCAACCCTAATCTCTTTCCAATCTGAAATCTGATTTCACACTATTGAATGTATCAGGGTTTCCAGCCAAGTCATGAGGTTTTGCAAGAAAGGATACAAATGTATATATGGGATGATTATGAAATGCGGCTTGAATATACAAATCTGTCACTTATCTGCTATAAGCAATTCATGGACAATAGACCAGAAATTCTGGAATATATAATAAAAATAAGGCAAAGAAACTATACATGCAATTCATGTCCTCCAAGTTACATCACAAAATACAAATTAATATCACAAATATCATCTCCACCTCTCTATTTAAGGGGATGCTTTAATGTGAAGAATTGAAATATTAAAAGAGGAAATTAATTAGGAATAGCTCAAAAAATTTACATGGAACAAGAAAAAAAAAAAACCGAACAAATCAGTCAATCAAAAACTGAATGAAAAGGATAGACAAGAAGATTGAATATTTTACTTTAATAGTAGCTTACTGATCCTGTAAAAAAAAAAAAAAAAACTTTTTCTAGTCCACAATCTCCATAAAGTTTGAAGCCATATTAATTTATTATAATTCTTACGCACCATTCGTGCACATAAATTGTTCGATGAAATCACGCAGCAAAACCATCTTCAGGAAAACTATAATTTCTCAATATTGCACTCCCACACTAAAAAAATACTCTTATTATGAATACTGAATTGATTATTACGTCGTTTATTATAATGAACATGTAAAAATTCCAATTCGGTAAAAAAAAAAAAAGCCTGAAAAGCAATACCATTATTCAAAACAATGCTTTCGAGGGACTATAGTTACTGTAATTGATGCTTTAGTTTATTTAATTGTCAAAACAAAACAGGAGTATCTCATGTTTTTGTGATAAACATGTGGTTCCGGTCTTGAAGTTCAGGTCTTGACTGTTTTACTTGTGTTTTATTTAGTTTTCTATACCGGGTTACTTTTAAATTATTTGATCGAGTAGATTAATATAAAGATGATGCTGTGTTGTGGAGTGCGATGGCTTCGAGTTTTGTTAAGAATGGGAAGTTTAGGGAAGGGATTGATTGCTTATCAGAAATGCTGAGTTACAGTGTGGAGGCTATTGATGTTAGTGTATTAGTGTTTTGCCTGCTTGAGCTGATCTTGGTGAGTTGTGTTTAGGGAAAGAGACTCATCATAGGTTGTTGATAAAGAACGTTTTCAATTCTTTCTTGAACGTACGAGATGCGCTTGTCAATATGTATGCAAAATGTGGGGGAATTGGAGGGCTGGGTTTGGGTTTTTTCGTGGAAGTTCGAAGAAGGATTTGATTTCTTGGAGGACTGTGATTCTTGGCTGTGATGAGAATGGTTTTGAGGGATATGGATTAAATAGATGAGGACCTGAGGCTCTTGAAGCGCGGTGCGTGGTGGAATGCAGGTAAAGCTCAATGATCTTGTTTCTCTCTGTTTAATCTGCTTGTAGTCCATGCGGGCTAGAATACAAGGGCCACAACTTCTTTATTCCATGAAAGAGAAGTGTGGTCTTACTCCAAAACTTGCACATTATGCTTATTGCATGTTGGATCTGCCAAGTTGGCGAGGACATGTTGAGGAAGCCATTGACTTTTCAAACAAAATGCCATTGGAGCCTTTAAAAGAATCTGGGGAGCTCCTCTGGCGGGTTGTAGATCAAGAAGGCATGGGTCAATTTAGGTGGCAGGGTTTGTGGTAAAAGGGCTTATTGCCTTAGACCCAGAAAATGCCATCTATCATGAGATTTTGTTAGACTTGTATGCGGAGGAGGTAGATGGGAATATGTTGTGGGGCTCAAGATGTTGGTAGACGAAGAGAGCAGAATGCAGCTTGTAGCCGTAAATGATTCTCCACGCATTATTTCCAATTCATTAATCTCAACAGGTAATCGGTCAGTTGATTTCATGTTTCTTACTCTATTCATTACATGGTTCATACTTGCTAAGGGATGGTATTTAAATGGCTGTTTTCGTACACCTGATTGTTTAATTTATGCTTCTCGGATGCTGATATTAAAATGATGGTCATGAATTTTGGAATTGCAATCTTGGACTGTTTCTTCATTTGTGTTAAGCATGAGAATTTGAAACGATCATGTATTTTTATTTGGTGAATTTTCAGTATCTGTCTTGAAAGGAGGTGTACTGTAAATGTAAGGTAGAGACTGGATTTTCAGTAATCGGTTTGTTGATCCATTTGAGTACGTAACAATCGAAGAAGGTTCTAATTATATGGCATTAGTCTTCATGTAGAACAAAATTTAGAAGAAGAAATCTACATATTACTTATCACATGATACATAAATTTGGTTGAACTGTATACTTTAAACTATGGAGTGAATTAAATGTTAGATTGTGTAAGAAGACCTCTAAAAGTTCAATTTTAGATCACACAAGGCATGATTTAAAATGTAAAACTTGAACCATATTAGGTTATAGTTTCACTCTGCTCACAAACTGCATAACGTTGTTCATCAAAACAGTCATCGTATAACAATTTCGTGGCCCATTAATTTTGGGATTCGTTTAAAACAGTTATAGTTACTTATTTACATTAAACTCCTTTGACAACTCAAAGTGCCTATTTAGTGAACTACGTAACGTAATTGCTTTAATGCTAAGTGTTGCATTGAAAGAAGTAGGAAACTGCCACTGTTACTAATTCTTGCACCAAATTTAGCATCAGAAGCATTTTCTTATGAAAGCACACGGTTCTACTTTGTAGTTTCTCTCTATTGGACAAGCACGCGAAGATGCAATCTCACACCAACACACACAAAGGGGGTGCCTGTACACAGATGAAAAGAGGAATCCTTGAAGTACTTCTTGTTCATGCTAAAGGCATGACGCACACAAATCTCATTGGTAACTCTCTCTCCGAGCTATAGATCACATGAACTGTAATATTTGCTTCTAGTTCCGTATGCCCCAGCACCCGTTAAAGTTTTTTTGCACACGCCTTCTTTCATTTTGACCTGATTTGAGCTCATTAACATTTCAGTTTGACTTTGGTTATAGGTCCACCAGTCTACTATGTCATCATACAATGCGGATCTCACGTGCATAAGAGCAAAGCATCATCAGGTTCACACCCTGCCCTTCAATTTACTAGGTCTATATCTTGAGCTCCTACGGCTAGTTTGTTCTAGTATCTTAGTAATTCAGTTTCATGACTCAGGCAAAGATGGAAAAACATGGTGGAATGAGAAATTCAGGTTTGACTTCTCACTAACTGATTGGAAACACTTGTCCCATCTAAAATTCAGAATCATGGATCAGGAATTCTTCACAGATGGTGGATTTGTTGGTGAAACCACGTAACGTCTAAAATTCACTCTTGCCACTATTTTTTTTTTTTTATAAGCTTAATATTGCTTGACTTTTTTTGTCTTATCTCAAAATTTTCACGCTACTTGCCCTATAGGGGATCGTGTGACACAAAGAAACACATAATGAACCTAACAAGATATTTGTATATCTGGTTTTACTACCAACTTCACATGGAACAGTATCATTCCTAAATGCTAAATCAACTGTCAAGTATAATCTTTTTCCTCCTTTGAAACTTGGCAGTGACTACCTTTGTAAGTAGTGAATGACACTCTCGTTCTGAGGAATAAAAGATAAGATTTGTAGCAGAAACAATGCCAGGGTGGTTTTTCTAATCCAAAAGTAATTGCAGTGGGGAGTTTCATCAAATAATATTTTCTCATAGGTGTAGTGATATTGTAGAGACTTGTCCTCAATCTACTAACCAGTTTGTCTTATAATTTTATTTTGAAAATGTTTTTAATTTACGTTTTATTTTTGATTTAGAATTTACCTTGGAGGAATAATAGAGGAGGGGGCCAATAGAGGAATTCTAGAAATGAAGCCAGCTCCATATAATGTGGTGCTTGAAGATGACACCTACAAAGGAGAGATAAAGATTGGACTCAAATTCATTGCCAACGTAAGCAAACACTTTTATGTGACATCCCCCAATTTGTTTAATTATGCACCAGTGGATTAGGTCACTGAACTTACATAAATTCACTATCTTTTTGCAGAAGGAAGTGCTCCCGGAGAGGACATTCCTTGCTCGAGTGATTGAACCAAGACAATCGATATGCAGATCCATTATAAATCTCTGGAAATTTTCATGGTGGAGGTTTTGGCTTTATCGTAATCAGAGGAATGCTGAAAATAAGAAAGAGGAGGAATAAGAAGGATCATAATCTTGAATTGTAGTCTAAGGAAACACTTTGTTGCGAAATCAGTGAGATGATTTAAGCCTATGGAATTTGGATCATTTTTTGATTATGAATTGGGGAAATGTTCCCCTCCTTGAAATTCATTTTGAAAACTATCAGAACTTGTTCCTCATCGTAGCTTCCATATATTGATAATTATAAGTTGAGCAACATCAGGTTTCAGGATTCTCTCTCCCCGTGTTTCATATCTGGCCAGCTTAGAAGCCCCTCTGAATGGTCACTTTCTGTTAGTTTTTCTATTGGTGACAATGGGCAACAGAACTCAAAACTGGAGCCTGCATCTGTTCAATAGCTGAATGGACAACAAGGCCTTCATCAAGTCTTTTATCGGTCAAATTGCTTAGGAATACTTATTTTTCCTGTTAATTTTGTATGGACAGGTAGACTTGTTGTTTTGCCCCTTAAAAGTATGTTCGTGCATTTGCTTAATAAAGAAATATTCGACCTGATAATCTTGTGATTATATTTCTTTTCCATCCCTATGACACATTCATGGGCCAAATTAAAAGAACATGGAACACATTTGCAAAATGGGATGCACGTCTGTTTCAAGAGAGTCCCGACCTGTTTGAGAAATTCTGTGTTTCATCTAAATAATGCAATAAGGAAATGTTTTTTTTTCAAATTGGTATTAGTTTTTCTTTTGACTGATTGGGAGAGTTCATCAATTATTTACGAAGGCTAATGTATTCGACATGTCTTCTAAGCTAACCCCCGACAAAGCTAACAACCATCTCTTACTAAATTCTAACGTATTCAACCAACAGGTTGCATGTTCTTTCCTTTTCTTTTTTCTTTTAAACTATTAAGTTCAGTTATTTTTGTACTACTAAATTAGGGTCTTATAGCCATTTTAAGAATTGATAATTCCCAAGTTATAAATGGGCCAAATGGCGATTGAATTATTATTGTTATTATTTTGGTTACAGAATGGCAATTGAATTGGTGATGAAAGTGTCGTCAAGTTTCTTTTCAGATTTTACTTTCTGGCCCTACCAACTTTGAGAAATAAAGAGAGAGTCTCCAATGTGAGGATGAAGGATGTTGTAGGTTTAAGCCGGCAAAAAAGCACGTTCGTTAACCAAAAGAAGAACAGAATTTACAGTTTGTATAATAATTAGACTTTCAACGTTTTCATGTAGCCAAAAATGGTGGGGGAAAAAACATGCATTAAATAACACCTAATTAATGTGAATCAAATCATAATCGATCCTGGAATTTCCTATATTTCAAGATGGTAGACTTCCCAATAAAATAACTTAAAATGATTCGTTGAAGTTTTCTCTTCGACAATATTATTATTCATCATGTATTCAGCACCATATAATAACATACCACAAACCCATAAATATTTATGTCCAACTAAGATGCACTTTGCATGTTCAATCATACTCATTCAACAAAAAGACCAACAACATCTACTTTTTTCCATCCATTCTTGATTCTTTCTCTGTGCAAAACACTGCCATTTCTGCAACCTGGGGTCTTTCTGTCCTTCTTCATCTCGTATTAAAAAAATAAATAAAAAAACAACAACAATCAAACGGTTGATGTATATATATATATTTTTTTTCATCTTTTATACATGATTATAGGGTTATGAGTGCTTGTCTAAAGAAAGTGTTTCTTTGGGAAAGAAAAGGCTAAAAGAAATACAGAAAAGAAGAAGAAGCATAGGAAGGAAACTGTTTCAAACGGTACTCAACAATATTCAGCTTACTATAGCTAGCAAGTTGCAAAATTCAAATCTGCCCTATTAAAGGTAAGTTTGAAGGAAAGGAATGTTATTAGACCGTTGCTTTTATAATACACCTGCCGTTGTCTTTGAATTTTCAAATTTCTGTTGGTTCATTTCTAAAAGAAGGAATTTATCAAAGACTGCCTTTAGTTACAAGTCTTGCAGAAAACTCAGAGCATCATTACATTTCCTGGTAACAATAACGACTTAAGGTTAACCCCTTTTGCTTTTTGTAGCAAGAAAAGAGAACAGTTCTTTTTCTTTCCCTTTCTTTGTAATCCCTTTTTCTTCTTCTCTCAAACATATATTCTGCATTTTAAGCCAAATCCCGGGTGAAAGTATCGGATTCGAGTATTCCTAGTTTCCCACCTATGAAATTTGTTTTGTTAGTGATCAAAATAAGTATCCTAAGATCTAGAGCTCACTAACCAAATTGTTACACTTTCATGATTATCTTGCAGATTGTTGAGCAAGTAGACCGCAAGTACTAATCTTTAAATGGATAATTCATCGAACTTTGACGAAATTTCTGATCCTGGTTATCAACCTTCACCTTCTTCTTTGGATCAAAATGATCAATCAACAGTGGAAACTCCAGGGTACTCAACAATGAGTGGTGATTCTTTCATGTTCGGCAGGACTTATTCAGAGACCTCAGCCTTTTCTGATCCCATAGATGAAAACAGCTATTCAAGTGAACCTTCTCCTTCTCATTGGCCAGTAACCAAATCTGTAGCACAAAATCAGGCTATGCCTGGAAGACAAGCAATGAAGCAACAGAAGCAAGATGCGGATGATCAAGAATCTGTTGACTTAGGTGGGTTTACTTATGATAGTTTGGTTTGTTTTGCTGAAATTTGTTCATGTAATAGTAATGATCAACACATTTTTTGCTTAATTTTGAGTAGAACTTGAGATGATGAAAGAAAGATTTTCAAAGCTTTTGCTCGGTGAAGACATGTCAGGAGGTGGTCAAGGTGTCTGCACAGCTGTCACTATATCAAATGCCATAACAAATCTCTACGGTAAGCATAATACAAACACGTCACCTTGGCTTGTTAAAATATAAGATTCTTTCTCTCTCTGTTATCCAGTTCTCTATCATTGCTTATCTTTGATATTTTCTGCAGCAACTGTGTTTGGGCAAAATTTGAGATTAGAGCCACTGAAACCTGAGAAGAAATCGATGTGGAAGAGAGAAATGGACTGCCTGCTTTCTGTATGTGATTACATAGTAGAATTTATCCCCAAGTCTCAGAATTTACGAGATGGAACAGCTCTTGAGGTGAAGTTTTGTTAACTATAACCCAAATTTCAAAGCGACATTTGTATTCTCCTGTTTCTAACATGATTGATTGGTCTTTCAGGTGATGGAAAGCATACCAAGATCAGATATTTACATCAACCTTCCTGCATTAAGAAAGCTTAACGCGATGCTCATAGTATGAAAAGCTTTCTTTTGCAAAATTAGAACAACTCTGTTTTCATTCCAGTGTCATACATATAGATCCTTATAACTTGGATTTAATTTGACAGGAAGTACTGGATAGTTTCAAAGATACAGAATTTTGGTATGCAGAGCAAGGAAGCATGTCATCAAATTCAACTCTTTCAGGCTCGTTTCGCAGAGTTATTATTCAGCGTAAAGAAGAGAAATGGTGGGTGCCGGTTCCATTTGTTCCTCCAGGTGGCCTCTCTGAGAAGTCGAGGAAGCTCTTGCGACACAAACGTGACTGTGCAAATCAAATCCACAAAGCTGCCATGGCCATTAATGGTAGCATTCTTGCTGAGATGGAAATTCCAGACACGTACATGGCATCTCTTCCAAAGGTTAGCCTCCTTGCTATTCAAATTACATATACAAAAAATCTAGTGACTCTAAATTCCGAAGTCCCAGAGTAACGGTGGCTAGGTTCCATTTTCTGAAAAGCACTATGAAACTACCTCCTCCATTTAGGCTTTATAAAATAGCAAAGACATGTTCTATTACTATAACCATGAGGTTCTTGATATTGACACTACGCTAATTAAAATGTGTTTTTTTTTTCATTTCAGAGTGGAAGAGCAAGTCTGGGGGACACAATTTACCGTTACCTGTATACAGCAGACAAATTCTCCCCGGACCATCTTCTCAACTGTCTCAACTTAGCATCAGAACATGAAGCTCTTGAGCTAGCAGACCGAGTCGAAGCTTCAATGTACACATGGAGACGCAAAGCATGCCTAAGCCATTCAAAATCCTCTTGGGACATGGTAAAAGATCTCATGTCTGACACTGATCGAACAGATAAAAATCATGATCTAGCAGAAAGGGCCGAGACCTTGCTCTTTTGCTTGAAGCAGAGGTACCCTGAACTTTCACAGACATCCTTGGACACTTGCAAAATCCAGTACAATCAGGTAAGATGTGCAATCATTAATCTCTCAAATCCGTAACTTAATTTTTCAAAAGAACTAAATGGAAAGATAAATATTGCAGGATGTGGGCCAAGCTATCCTAGAGAGCTACTCGAGAGTTTTAGAAGGCTTAGCGTTCAACATTGTTGCTTGGATTGAAGATGTTCTTTTCGTAGATAAATCTGTGAGAAGCCAAGACCAATAGAAAGTTAGGAACCTCATGAGTTTCAAACGTCAGTGATAGATAATATATCTTCATGAAGGTGCTCTCTCTCGGATCACTGTCCAACAACTTTCTGTAATGCATAAGCTTGAAGGAATAGAGTAATGAATCTAGGACATTTCGTCTACCTTTGTGGGTAACAAGTTAAAGGTAGTAGTTCTTACATAGGAAACGTTTCTACATTGATTAAGAGATCTTTTGAGTACATTCTGCATCAGTTAAGACTTTAGCCAATTTCCTCAAGAATTTTTGTTTTCACGCGATTCAGTTACGATTCACAGTTCTTTTCCCCACATACAAAAATTGAAATAGAAAAGAAAAGAAAAGGTCAACTTTTTCACGCATCAATTAATATTCAATCTTTGCAGATAAACAGAACACCAGAGGATAAAGGAAACAGGAGCAATCAAGCCCAAATTATAGCAACATCATCTATACAATAGCAGTCACTAGTCAGCAATTCAGGCAACTCTCATTCCTTCAATGGCCAGATTTCATTAGTGCTATCAACAAATTAAAAATCCCCCAAAAAACCATGCTAATGATAGTGGGGTTACCACTACTAAGTACTACCCTGTTTCACACATCAGTCAATGAACCACTCTTGAGTTTTAAAGGTAGCAAGGGTCGTTTTCTTGAAGCAGAAGAAGATTGGAAAGCATCAATCTTGGACTTGCATTTGTTATGGTCCCCTTTGCTTTCCTCCAAACACTTCTTTAATGCTTCAGCTCTATCTTGAGACATTTTCTTCTTTGTGCCAACATTAGTTCCAACATTATCACCCTCACTACTCTCCCCCTTCTCTTTATCCATTTTACCTGTACGAATTATGATCGTAGACATTCCACAAAAAACTTCATCAATAAGATATATATATATATATATTATCAAGAAAGAAATATAGAATTCTGGTGAGTTCTTGATTTCTTTCTTAATACATGCAGAGCAGAGATTAAAGATCAAGAACCTACCAAGATTCAAAGAAATTGATGAACACAAAACTATGAAGTTAGTTGACTTACTTGACTTGAGCGAATTGGGATTTTAGGGATTTTGAAGTATGGAACAGTAGTGGAGTAATTTATGGTGAATCAGTAGCTGTAACTACAGTGAAGTAATGGGGAAGACAGAGTAGAATAAGTAACAGAGAAAACAAGCACAGAGAAAGGGACTGTCAACGCAGTCGCACGCCAAACGTGTTGGCGCAGCTAACTACTCCATGATTCTTCTCTCTCCTACTCAACTCGGCCGTCGCATTCTAATAATAAGCTTACAACTCGCTCTTGCCATTGCGTGACTAACTACTAACTGCCTTGCCAGCTTCTTAGTCTGGTTATCATACAACAAAGCCCAACAAAGCCCAAAGCCTAGTACGTCTTCCTTGTTGCTGGGCTCCTCCTTATGGTCTGTAGTCTCATTAACCAAAGGGTAATTACTAATTTCCATTTTGTTTTCTATCAATTCTCTCGTGATTTTCTTCTGCACCATCTCTCTCCAAAGTATAGAGAATTTATCAATTTACTCTTAAGAAAATTGCCAAACCCAAGTGTAATATTCATAGTTTTTAAAAACAACCATTCTATTAACGGTGCATCCCATTATCATTATTGAGCATTACGAGTGTTAACGGAGAATATCAACTCGCGGGCCTCGAAGGACAGAAAGCGTGTGGGATCATGTGGACCCTTCAAGTGCACAGTAAGCGTACGGTAGGCTTCAGCTCAAGTTGCTAAAGCTGCGTTCACGTCCAAGTTCAAAAGCCGGACCTTTTCTTCTTCTTCCTTTAAAACTGCCAATAATACAAATAAATAGATAGCCTGGCACAAAGATTTTTTTTGTTTTCCTTCTCCTTCTTCTTCTTCTTCTTCAATTAAGGTGGATTGAGGTCTTGTGTTGCTAATCATGGTACGTATCCTCACGAAAAGCTACGAAATTCTTTTTTTTCGGGATTAAGGGTTAAATTGGTTATAGAAGGTTTTTTTTATTGTCTTTTTATTTTAAATTCATCTCTTTCTACTTGGTTTTTATTTTAATCTCATTTCTTATTAACTTTTTGATTAATAGTATTAATTTTTTTATTCAATTTTAATCTCGTCTCTCTATTCTATTTTTCCATCTAATATTCTTTTTTTTATCGAATTTAGATAAATAAATTAAAAAAGATTAAAAAATTAAGATATATCCTGTCATTTTCTCTAAAAAAGAATTTAAAAAAATTGATGATAAAAAAGCGTTTTTTATCAAAAATATTCTTTATAAGCTTAAATTCATCTCTATAATACTAACAAAAAATGAATATAAAATTAAATACCGATAGTATTTTTCAAAAATGTATCTTTATGATAATAAACAAAGTTGTAATATAAAATAAAATATTTATAACATTTTTTTTTAGTTTGAAGAGAGCTTTAGTTAAATTTTTTAAAATAAAAAATTTATAAAATCGGAATAAATAAATTATAATACTCTTTTGACGTGTTATAAAATTATAAATATCTCTCAAAAGTTTAAAATTTTAAATTAAAATACTCTTTATGATAGTAAACACTTTATGATAGTAAACAAAGTCTTTTCATTTTTTTAAAACGATATTATAAGTGTTTTATTTTATACCTAAAATTTACTTACTATCATATACATAAATTTGAACTCATTACCTAAGAAAGATAACTTGAACAAAAGGAATTCTAATCATTTAAGCACATAGTTTCGATTTCGAGTCTTTGCGTACAAAAACAACTCTTTGAGTAGTTATATCCGCCTTATGTGTCCATCCAAATATCGAGGAATAAGTCTAGATTTTTAGACCTAAAAATGCCCTAGGTATCTAAAAGAAATAAATAAATAAACCCCTTTAAAAACTTTTGGATAAAAAATATTTTTAATTCGCCACCTTTATTTTAAAATTTTTTTTAGAAAAAATGACAGGATATATTTTTATTTTTTTTCCATTGTTTATTATTTTAAAAATCATTTATTTAAATTGGGTAAAAAAGGCTTAAAATAAAAAAAGAATAAGGTAGAGAAAAAAGATTAAAACAGAAAAATTAACACCATTAGTACAAAATGATGAGATTAAAACAAAAACCAAACATAAAACAACAAAAGTACGTATTTATGACGAAAAAAATTTCCTCTAAAATAAAGACAAAAGAAGAAATAGAAAGATCTTTGCAACTATTAATCTATTTTTTATTTCCTATTAAATAGCAATACGCCAAGAACGATGCTAATATTATTTAAAAATCTATTCCAAAATCAATTTCGATTTCGTAAGAATTTCAACCATTAGATGCTGGGACACACAAAAGAGGATAGCTGACCTGGATACCCAAAAAACCGTACGAGAACAATCTGAATGATTGGCCATACCATACCGCTTTATTTAAGTGACCTTAGTGAAATTTCAGTCTGGAAAAAGATGACAGAAAATCGCACTTCAAACAAAGAGATAAAGCCCACATAAATCATCCACACCAATTTTAGGTTTCGCCAATACAGCGAGATGTACAGGAGAAAAAAAATGACATTGAGGTACCAATTAAACTCCTACCGATCAATTAATCTCCGAAGCGGTGCAATTTCGTTCTTCAGTTTTTAATAACTAAGAACCAATAACCCTTTTTTATGAAGAAATTGTTTAAGCACTTCCCTGGGAGATCAACATTTTATATAGCATCGCTTCACATGCAACAAGCTCCAACATATCGTTAGAAACAATAGATCTAAGGTTTCTGTGCTGCTCAAGTAGGAATAGACAAAGGGCAGTAAATTTTCCTGCTAAACACTTACAAAACACTTGAAACTCCATAAGTCCCACTACCACTCGTCAATGGCACATCATAAAGCCCTCGGCATATCTCCAATTTTGATGTTTGGATATTTTTAGTCTATTTGTCGATAGATTCGGGGGGGGGGGGGGGGGGGGGGGGGGGGTGAAGGGGGAGGGAAGAAGTTGCACATATACTTGGAAGAGCACAACATCACACCAACTGGTTGCTGATTTGTCAATAATTCATCAGACAAATGAAAGCAAAAAACATCTCAAACGGGAGAACTGATGATCTAGCAAATTAAAGACATTGGTGTAATCATCAGTTTATCCATCTTATTGAGGTAAAAGGCAAATACATCATATGAATCAAAATGAACACCATCCTGTTTTAGATTTTATTTTAAATTCCAGGGACTATCGTGTCCAGATCTCAATCGAGAAAAGGTGAATTATGCATAAGAATCCAAAGGCGAATCCAGAAACCTCCTAACCCAACATGAATGAAGGATTAACATCAACAGCAGATAAAAACTTTTAAAAGTCCTTTGTTTTTAAAAAAATGATGGTACAATCTTTTTAAAACCAAGTAAATAACTATAATAATTACTATACAAGTAAGAGCCTGCAAATATAAATTGTAGTAATCACGCACATGCATTAATGAGAGAGGGGAGAGAAAGAGAGACGCAACAATAGATTGATGCATATGAGAAAGCTACAGGTCATTCTTGAGGATATTTTACCCTGATCAATTGGCAAAGTAAAAACAATTATCTCTATATATACAACAATCCCCTGAACTGCACCTGGAGAACAGTCCAGATTGTGGGTGATCAATAGGTTAGTAGTTGAGCGGGCCGGAGACCTCGCAGGGCAGGCTGTGTGGGAGCATCATCACTTTCTCTATTTCCACAAGGGCCCCATATATTCCCCACCCCCTCTTAAAAAATGCCCCTCCAAACAGCTCCCTTTGCCATCAAAGGCAGTAAAGAGGCGAAATCTTGATGCTGATTCTGTGTGATTAGTGAAAACATTAAATTACCTGTTGAGGGGGATTGTGCACTCCAAGACCAAAATCAAGAATGAAGTTAACATCAGCTGTCATCATCCACAGCACCAATGTAGGTGAGGTCTGTCCGCCTCACCCTAACAGCTCCTTTAAGCCAGCTGGAAGCTCGAAGATTAGCATGGTCACTGCTGCCAATAACAGAAATGTTACCTGAAGATGGGCCCGACCCAGTGCCATCTTCCAACAATGTCCAAGGATCAATCTCCATATCATAATCCTGTTGCAATGGCAGCGGAAGTGGCAGTGGCTTGGACTTTGTTGATATGCTATTGGCAGAGCGTGCCAAAGGAGCTGGATTTTTCTGAGCATTATTTCCATTGTAAAACCCTGAAATTGCAATGCTAGGTTGAAGTGAAGCAACAGCAGCCATGGGGACAGGTGGTGGCTGGCAAGAGACAAAACATCGGACAGAAGGTAGAAGAATTGGCATTGCAGCCTGTATACGCAGTCGAATCGTGCCAGGCAGCTGCATACGATCTAAATCATTCTGCATTCACAGAAAATATATTTAGACATGTATAATGCCCACAAACAGAGGAGGGGGATGTTGGGTTATACCCTTCTACTCGATATCTTCATATAACCCATGCACAACAAAAACAAGCATTTAGTCATTTTCTATTCTTTTACTTTATTTCGAGAAAGTTTGGACCATATCCAACATCAAAACATGGATATTATACTGGTGAGAAACAGTGATCCCTTATTTGTTTTTCTTTTTTTCCCCTACAAGTGGTAACTAGAAACAGGGGTCAAATTTTAGTATTTTGCTGAAGTAAAGGGAAATAATCCAGAATTAAGAACATCTTAGTTTGGACAAAAACAAATAATGGAGATTGTGGATCCACGCAAACTACCCCAACCAATTTGGGAGACTCAGTTCAGTTTAGTGGTTTGAAAATAGAGAGAGCAGAATGAAAGGGAAAATTGGCTCAAGATTAGAGAAGAATGAAAAGAATTTTCACCCATTCTAACATTTTAGAAACCCAGCCCCCCAACAAATGATGAAAATCCTTAACAAGTTAATAAAGATTTCATTAACAAATTCAAAATATTACATCAATAACTTTGTTGGACACTCAATTGAAAGGCATCTCAACCTCCAATAAATGCTGAATCAACTACCTCTACTGTCATACAATTTGATTGTGCATTTGTAAGCCCTTGAAATAACTAAGAAAAAGTACATCATAGGATATTATTAGTGGCATAGCAAGTTTTGCTTTTCCTCATTTGGTTATTGCAGGTATATAAAATGAATTCATGTTGATCAATTAGATTGTTCCTTTAAACTCTACGTAAAACTTGACAAATGTGTAACACTTCACAGGTTAACTGGAAACTGGACCTTGGACTCTAGAAGTTCTCCACCTAATGTAAAAAGATAAATCATGAGTTCAAGTGGTGGAGAAACAGGATTTTTAAACTAAGATGGACTAAAGCAAAACTGGGCGGTCTACTTGGGAGATAGACCACCCTTCTGCCCGAATACAATTCACCAGTATCAAGATAATGATTTAGATTCCCTCTATAAGTCAGATTTTCCAGGCCATCTTTTTATGGCTAGGGATATGAGGAAATAAATGTCACCTAGTTATCCAA